GGGGACCTTTTTTTCTTTTCTTTTCTTTTTTTGGTCTAGGGAAGAGACTATCTGAGCAATCATTAAGAACATGTTGAGGGACGCCCAGGGGGCTCAGGGGTTGAGCATCTGCCTTCGGCTCCTGGGGTCCTGGGATCGAGTCCCACCATTGGGCTCCTGCAGGGAGCCTGCTTCTCCCTCTGCCTGTGTCTCTGCCTCTCGCTCTGGGTCTCTCATGAGTAAATAAATAAAATCTTAAAAAAAAAATAAAAAAGAACATGTTGAAATACCTGAATGAAGACATATTCTATTTTTCTTGGATGGCAGCATTTGAATCAATAGGCAGAAGCGAAGCAGATTTCAGGTGAATGTTTAGAAACTTTCTCATAATTTTCTTCTATTTGAAATAGAATAAGCTCACTCTGTCTATGCAAGGGAACACTGAAAAAGCAGCTTTCATGCATTTCAGGAGAGCTTTAAAGAAGAGTCTTGTCGTTAATGGGAAGATAGATTAGTCCAACATCACTGAGAAGCTGTAGAAAAATATGGCTTCCCGAGTAGCAGAGAATCTGCCTCGGTAGGTCTGGAATGAGATTTGGAATCTATATTTTTAATAGGAAACACTAGTTATAAAACTCTTCTAAGAAAACACAGGGGGATAAGGTTCACGACATTGGATTTGGCAGTGACTTCTTGGATACAACACCCTAAGCGTAGGCAACAAAAGAAACATTAGATAAACTGGAGTTCATCAAAATGAAAAACTTCTGGGCTCAAAGGACACTGATGATAGAGTGAAGAGGCAACCCACACCATGGGAGAAAATACCTGCAATTCACGTGTCTGATAAGGGATTAATAAGCGCAATATATAAAGAACTCTTACAACTCAACAACAACAACACAACCCAATTAGAAAATAGGCAAAGGACTCGAACAGGCATTTTTCCAAAGAAGACCTACAAACGGCCAATGAACATGTGAAGAGACGGTCAACATTGTTTCGCATCAGGGAAACACAAATCAAAACCACAAGGAGATAGCACTTTGCAGTCAGTCGGGTGGCTATTACTAAAAACCGAAGCAAACAGAAAAGTGGAAGTGCTGCAAGGAGGTGGGGAACCTGTACCCCTCCCACACTGCCGGTGGCAAGGTAAGATGGCATGGCCGCTGTGGAAGACAGTAGCGCGGTTCCTCAAAAAGATTAAAAACAGAGTTTAACTACAGGTGATCATAGACAACTGCATGTGATCTGATAATTCTACTTCTCAGCGTACACCCCAACGAATTGAAGACAAGAGCTTGAACAGATACCTGCATCCCAATGTTCAAGGCAGGATTATCTACAACAGCCAAAAAGTACAGACAATCCATCGACAGCCGAACGGATGAACAAAATGCGCTATAGCCATACGTTAAAATATTACCAGCCTTAAAAACGAAAGGAGTTCTGGTATATGCTACACACAGATGAACGCTGGGGACATGATGCTGGGTAAAACACACCAGTCACCGAAGGACAAATCCTGTACGATTCTCCCTAGACGAGGTACGCAGAGCAGCCAGGGGCACAGAGACCGACAGCAGAATGGTGGCTGCCAGGGGCTGGGGCGAGGGGGACGCGATGACCTAGGGTTTAACGGGGACAGAGTTTCGGTTTGGGAGGATGGAAAAAGTCATGGAGATGGATGGCGCTCACGGTCACACAACAATGTGAACGCACTTCCTGCCTCCGCGCTGAACTCTGGAAAATGGCTGGCATATTAGCCATATAAGAAAAAAAAAACACGTACTTTACCCCATTTTTTAAAAAAGAACTGTGATTTTTAAAAATAGGATTCTCTTGGCAGCAAATTCACCTTCCTCATTCTAGTTCGCTGAGCTTCCGCTTGCAGAATTTGCCTTCCCTATGCCCCCAGAGACTGGCAACCCAGGAAAGGCCTGGTGTTCGGATGGAGCAGAGAGCGCTCCGCTGATGTGGGACTGAGCACCAGCTGGGGGAGGGCCCCCCCAAGGTGCTGCTCCCCCAGCAGATACCTGAGAGCGCTCAGAGTCCCTGGTCACCTCACCTGGCTCACTCAGATGGCTTGTGGCTGCTCGTGTCACCCAGAAGGGAAAGCAGAGGCTTCAGTTCCTCTGCTGGTCTGGTGCTGGGAGCTCCTGGGAGGCAGGAAAGTGAGTGGCAATGGGCAGTGGCTGACAGGGGTCAAGGTGGCATCACTGTGCGGTGACGAGGGAAGCCCTGCAGGCCACCCCTACAGGGAATGGCCCTGCCCCTTTCATGAGTAGGGAAAACAATTTTCTTCGAAAACTGGACGTTTTCTAAATTATAAAACCTGGACGAAAACCACAGTGGGGATGGGGGCTGAGCAGGGGCCGCTCAGGTCTGCATGTTCTCTTCGAGACTGGCTGGAATCTAAGGTGCCCGGTCTCTAATGGGAAAGCACAACACTTAACCATGAAAACATATCATTGGGGAGTGATTGTTTAAAATTACTGGGATTATTAGTGGGTTCCCCTCAGCTCTGACTGCCTAGCACACTGAAGGGTGGGTGTGTTCCCAGTCCTGGCAGGGCAGCCCACCAAGGGGAAACCTGGAAACTGCCACGTGTTAAGAGTTCCTGCTAATGGCAGAGCGACCATAAAAACAACACACGTGCAGTTTTCTTGGAAGCCACGCTGCAGTCGGCGGGAAGGTCCACCCCGCGGATCCGCCGTGCCAGCACCTGCCCGCCGTGAGCTCCCGGCTTCCCTGGGCCCACGGCCAGTCGGGGGATGTGCGGGAAGGGCACGTTCTCACTCATGCTGGCCTCAGTGAAGTCTTGCTTTTTTTTTTTTTTTTTTAACTGACTCAGGATCACACACACTGTCCAGAGGGAAGGGGATAAAGAAAGAGTGCTAGAGGGTGGATTAAGGGCATCTTTCCCGGCTCCTTCTGCCCACCATTCCATACTCCCGTGCCCGCAAAATCTACGTTCACAGGACCGGCCAGCGGCCACTCCATCGGTCCCAGCTGCGGATTCTGAGTGGCGCTGGGGTGAGACTGCACGCTCCCCGGGGGCGGGTCTGGGGGCCGCAGAGGGCGGGAGTCGTCCTCCTCCTTCAGAATGGCATTTTGACAATAACGATAATAACAGTCACAACAGCAAAAAAAAATTAAAATAAAAATAAATAGCTGACACTTATTGAGCATCTGCCAGGAACCAGGAATTATTCCAAGCACTTCATAGATACTGATGTATTTAATCCTTAGAATTAGCCTGAGATAGGTTCTATTGCCGGCATTGAGCACATAGGCCAACTGAAACCCGGGGAGGTTAACTACCTTCCCTGCGCTCACACAGCCACCAAGTCCTGCCACCTGTCTCAGACTGTGATCTCTCCAGAGGCAGGAGTCCTGTGCCTCCCAGGGTTCGGGAAACTTCCTGCCAAGGCCGCTGCGGGCACCGTGGGCAGTGGCTCTCACCTCCCTCCATCTGGAGCTCCCTGGGGGCTGGGGCTCCAGCCATCCCAACCCACGGGGACCTTTCAGAGCTCTGTGCCTCACAGAGGCGCGCCTCCCTTGGCCCTACCCAGCTGGGAGCCCTCAGAGGGCAGGGATCGGGCCTCCCTCGCAGGGGCAGCTTCCCAGAGCAGCCCATCCGACACCATGGCTCCCCTTCCCGGCCAGCGGAGCCTGTGAGCACAGGGGGAGCCGGGTGGCTCTTCCCCCATCCCAGCTGCAAGCTGCCGGGTCTGAGCGTGAGCTCGGGCGGCCTCTGGGATTTAAGAGGCGGTAAACAACCCCATGCATGACTCAGTTGTTTTGCTCCGGAGCAGCAGCGGCATGGGCCGGACAGGCTCTGCCCAGGCCCTGCTCATTTGTCCCCAGGGGTGGGGAACAGTGGATGGCACGGAGCTCAGCTCTCAGACCTCTCCTAGGAGGGGCTACTTTTCACTCTCTTGAAGCTTGCGGGGGTTTTTATTGGGAAGAGGTGGTCCCCCAGAGGGCTAGAGGGGAAGGGTGTTGCCGCTACTTGTGTGGTCCCTTGGAAAGTCCCAGCAACCCAAGAAGGAAGCGAGGAGAAGCGGCAGGGAGGTGAAAGATGCCCTGAAGAAGCTTCCAGAACCACTAGGCTCTCCAGTCCCCCAGCTTGGAAGAGCTGGGCCAGGACCCCCCAAGCCTCGCACGCCCCGCATGCCCTGCACACCCCGCACGCCTCTTCCTTCCTAGGTCCTCCCTCACTTTGCAGCCGGTCACCGGTGTCCCCGCGGCTGCACACGCAGCCCTGCCAACCGGGCGGAGGAGAGGAGAGGAGGGTCCCCGAGGGGGGAAGGCCCGGGAAGGAGCGGACCCCGCTCACAGGCCAGGCCAGGGGCTAGGCAGTCGCGCTGCAGGGACCAGGTCTGCAGAGGAAGAAGCCGAGGCAGCGGGGACAGGGATGGGGATGGGGACGGGGATGGGGATGGGGACGGGGACAGGCTGCCCGGGCAGGCACAGGGCGCAGGGGCCGGGACCGGGAAGGAAGCAGAGCCCCCAGGACCAGTTTTCTGTTCCAGGGGTTTCATTCTCTACGTTGTGGGCCTCAGGTAGAGCAACGCTGCACCAGCATCCTCTTTTTCGCAAACGGGGCAGAGGAGGGGGTCCGCGGCGCACCGGGGGTGGCGGGACCCGGCCTTCGGGGCGGGGGCGGGGCGAGCCGTGGAACGACAGCCACACGGGCCAATGAGAGGGAGGGCCCCGCGCTGACCGATTAGCACCTCGGAGGGAGGGGCCCTGCACCGACCAATCAGCTCCTCGGGGAGGTAGGTCCCCGCGCCGACCAATCAGCTCCCCGGGGAGGCCCCCCCCGCCGACCAATCAATCAGCTCCTCCCGCGGCGGCCCCGCCCACCCCGCGAGGCCCCGCAGCCCGGCGGCGTCTGGTCCCAGCGCAGCTGCAGCCGCCCCGGGAGGGACCCCGTCCCCCGTCCCCCGTCCCCCGCCCCCCGTCCCCCGCCCGCCGCCCCCTCGCCCCCTCGCCCCGCTGTGCGAGGGCCTTACCCGGTAGTGATGTCGTCGTCCTCCGTCATGGTCTTGCCCATGAGGTCGCTGTCGCTCATGTAGCCGGACTTGAGGTCCACCTCGTCCGAGTCCAGGGACTCGACCAGCTCCAGGCGGGAGATGTGGCTGAGCTTGCTGGGGCTGCGCATGGGCATGGTGTGCGAGTAGTGGGCCCGCTCCCCGTGCATGTACCAGGCGGGCGGCCCCTCGGGGCGGCAGCCCCCGCCCACCGACGGCGCGTCCCCGGCCTGCAGCCGCGGGCTGGACTGGCCATAGCGCCAGGACAGAGGGGACGAGCGGCTGGAGAGGCTGGACACGCTGCGAGGGTTGGCGTCGTCGCTGTCGTAGCAGGTCATCTCCAGGGAGCTGGGCAGAGGGCAGAAGGGCACTGGTTTTCACTGGGGCCCTGTCTCCCCGCTTCCCGGGCCTTCCCGCCTCCTCCGCACCTGCCCAGGCGGCTCCACCGCCTCCAGGAGGCCTCTGGGTGCGGGGCGCCCTGCTACATGTCACCTGAGGTTGTCAGAGGAAAAGGACTCCACGTGCCATATCCTGCCTAAGGGCACAGGTCTTACAGCGGGTTTCGATCCTTTTCTACCATCCATCCGTAAGTGAGCTGGAGGCGAAGTAATCAGCCCTGCTAAGCCTCCACTCCCGTATCTGTCAAATGGGGATAACAGCCTACGAGCTAACTCCACAAAGTGGTAAGGCTCGCCCAGGCGATGTCTAACACGGTGCCCGGTCTACGGAAGCTGCTCGATAAATGGGAAGGGTCCAGTGAGATCTCTTGGGCGAAGTGAGATAGACTGGTCACTCCTTTGCTCGGGGTCTGTCTATTACCTCTTTTCTATCAATGAGCTGAGAGCCAGCTGATTCCCAAGCCAGAGATGGCAAAGTCTGGAGTGGGTTACAGCAGGTACAGGCAAAGCCTCGGGAACCCGAGATGTGCGGCTGGTTCCCACTAAGACGAGGCCCCCAGTGAAGGGCCTAGGCCATCAGGAGAAAGCAGCCACGGGAAACAGGAGAGAATGCGTGGAAATGGACAAGAGGGCAAAGACAGGATGTACAGGGTCCCAGGCCTCGGGCCCAGGGCTGTGCCGGACGGCCTGACACAAAGGGAGTCTGGAAGCTGGGGAAGGAGATGCCTTTCTCCCTCAGGGACCCAGGCGGCTGCAGGGAGAAAGGATAGCTGGGATCTGCTTGGAGAGGCGGCCCGGATTGGGGTTCAGATGGACACTGACCAGCCCACGCGGCCCAGCAGTGTTGCCAGCCCCGGTCAACCACGGGTAGGGTCTCAGAGGCTTGGCCCAACTGAAGCCACGCAGGGTTGAGCAACTGAAATAGGACGCGCAGGCCAAGACGCTGGGCAGCCGTGGCAATCGGGGCTGGACACAAGTTACACAAGCCGAGGAACCCTCACTCGGTGAACGCACCTATATCCTAGTCACTGCGGGAGTTAAGGTATGAGCAGGACGCTGATTTTTCTATTCTTGTTTTTGGAATATTCCTTGAAAAAAAGAAAATCCTCCTATATCGTCTCTACCAAACCCTGAGGAAACAGGGTTAATCTTTTTTTTTTTTTTGAAGATTTTATTTATTTATTTGAAATCAAGAGAAAAAAAGAAAGAGAAAGCATAAGCAGAGGGGAGGGGCAGAGGGAGAGGGAGAAGCAGGCTCCCCTGACACGGGGCTCGATCCCAGGACTCCAAGATCATGACCCAAGCTAAAGGCAGCCCCTCACCGACTGAGCCCCTCCAGGTGCCCCCAAGGGTGGATTTTTTTTGTCAACGGAACTGGAAGAGCCAAAAGACCCCGGGCCGTGAGCAGGCTGGTGGTGCCTACGGAAGTCCTGCGGACACGCCGGGGGAGCCCTGGCCGCGCAGGGCGATCTGTGACTGGCGCCTGAGCCCGGGCCTCCCTGACCTGGTGCACACCCACGGCCCCGCTCTGGGCCCCCCCGCTGTGCGGGGCGTGCGCTCCCGCGTCCACCGCGCCAGTTCGGTTTCTAATCCCGCGGGCCTCAGCGCGAAGGGACGTTCCCTGAAGGAGACCGGGGCCCGTGCGCCGTCTGCCCGGCTCACCGCCGCGTGTCAGCGCCCTGCACGGGGCCCGGCGTGCACTCGGCCGCGTGGGCAAACCCGCGACGGGCGTGCGAGTGGAAGGGCAGGGAAGTCTCGTGGTCAGACCCAGCGCGGGGAGGCACGCGGTGAGTGTGCAGTCAAGGCAAGCTGACCGTGCCGATGAGATGAGGGGGGCAAAGGGAAGGAGGGGGACGATGGCCATGGCGACGGGGCGCTGGAGAGCTCCGGGACAGCCCGCGACCCTCGCCGGCTACACCGCGGCAATAAAATTAGTGCGCAGTGTGGGCCGTGTTGAGATCCAGATTCCTCAGTTCTATTCCAGGCCTACCCCGATAGCTCTCTGCTCGGCGCGAAGGTGCCTCTTCCTCGGGTTTGCTGCTCTTTTTTATCCCCCCAGCACGGCTCCAGACATCTCTAAGCGGGGGAGGATCCTAGCTCCAAACTTCGGTTCTTGCCTTCCGTTTCTGAATGTGGCCCTTCAGCCTCGTGTGTGTGTGTGTGTGTGTGTGTGTGTGTGTGTGTGTGTGTCTCCCCCTCCCCCCTCCCCTCCCTCCGTGTCTGTCTCTGTCTCTGGGGTGGGGAGAGCGGCGGGCCTGGAGCAGAGGGAGACTTTCATTTCCTCTCCAGCCCCAGCCCCCTGACCCAGCCGCTCTCCTTGCTGGGGAAACGAGCCAGCAGAATTAGAGGAAACAGGACAGAAATAAAGATTTCTGAAAAAGGAATTGAATCTAGAGCTAGCCTGTAAGTTCCAGAGTGAAAATAACCTGGCTGCAAGCACTCACTGGATGCGAAGCTTATTAGGAACAAAGCCTGTGTTTGTTCTGGGGCCTGGTGCCCAGCACGGTGCCTGGCACGGGTTCTAAGCTTGCCGGACACGGACGCCCCCCGACCCATCAGCCTGGGGGACTCTGGCAAGGGACCCCCCCACCTCCTCCCCAGCCTTGGTCGTTGCTTCTCTAACCCAGAGGATATGAAAAGAGCCAGGGCCGAGGGAAGGGCTGATGGATGGGAAGCACTGAAGAGCCAGAAAAACTCAGGGAATTGTGGTCTTGGCTATCAAAGTGTGGAACAGGAATAACATAAACCAAAGGCTAAGAAAGGAAGTGGCTCTGGGTCCACACAGTAAACAGCAAAGCCAGCTTCAGGCTCTCGGTTCCTTTTCCATAAAGGGAGACAGAAACCAGAGGCCTGAGCCTCACCCCCTCAAACCAAGTCAGCTTTATGCAAAAGGTTTTCGGCCTCCGTCCCCTCTTCCCCACCCCAAACAGAAAGCAAACGGGGTCAGGCTGTCCTGCTTATTAACTGGCTGGCTGCTCCGAGTCAGTGGCACCAGGACACCGAAGCCGCTGCCTCTACCCTTCCCCTGTGGGTGAGTCACTTGGGGTGTGACCCCCTCGGCAACTAAGCGCTTCCTGCCTTCTTTGGCTCAGAGCCGGGCTCCGACGACTTCCCTGGTTGGGGGAAGGAGGATCAAGATTGCATATGCCCTGGGCCCCCCAACGGGTGAGGCCAGCTGAGCCCGGCCCCTGTCCCACTTGGGTCCTGCTTGGGGCTGTGAGGGATGGAGGCTAGAGACAGATGTAAGGGGGCCTCCAGAAGCCCCGCCGTGCACTGTCTTCCTCGGCCGTCCTTGAACACACCCCTTTCGGCAGGCTGGGTCCCCCTGGCCTGAGCGCAGGTCACCCCACAGAGCAGAGGCTCTGATTTACCGTTTAGAATTAAAATATTTCTGCTGTCTGGGGCAGAGGGCCGAGCATCCAACACGGAGGATGGGACTGGGCTGGGCGGAGTCGTGGAAGCAGAAGAACTAGAGCCCAAGGGTGAAGTGGCTGAAGCCTGATTTGAGGTCCACTTCCTACAATCCCACAGTGCACCAAGCCGCCTGGCAGCTAGTGAGCTGCCTGTCACTGGAGGTATGTAAATGTAGCCTGGCCAGCGCCTGGACCCCCGTCCCCTGGTCCTTGTGTCCCAGCTCTGCTCTCATGCTCCAACCCCAGGAGATGGGGAGGAACCAAGCTGCAGGCCAACTGGACGGGCCACCCCATCCCTCTCAGTCTTCCTGCTCCACACCCCCCCTGATTTCCCAACCCGGGCTGTGTGCTCCCGCCCCTCTGCCCCCTGGCCCCCTGGAGCCCGGAGCATGAGCTCATCGGAGGAGCCAGCCGGGAGGTTCTGAGTCACGGAGCGGCTCCAAGGGGAGGGGTGGGGGCCGGGGGCGGGGTGCTGGGTGCTCACAGCGCAGGCCGCGGGCTGGAGGGGCACAGCCACGGCACCGATCTGGGTGGCGCAGGACCGGGCACTCAGGCTCCCTCAGCCGCTGGCTCAAGAGGCAAGAGGACACGCGAGTGACGGCAGAGGGAACGGACGCTGGGTGTCGGGATGGGCACGGTTCTAGAACCCTCTAACCACAGACACTTCAGCACGGGAGAGGGGCAGCATCTGCAGCGCATGAGGAGACCAGGGGAAGTGGACACGGAAGGTCACACCCCGAGTCACATGGTGTCCCCCCCCTTCAAACTCCTGTGGATCGTGAAATCTCCCGCCCGAGCTCGAGCGGACCCAGGCAAAGCCGACGCGCCCCCCCCTCCTCTCCCCGGAGCGGGGGTGCCGCGGGGTCAACGCCCGGCTCTCCAGAGTGGGAGCGAGCGAGCGGGCAGCTCGGACTCACCTGTGGGCCACCTGGGACCCCCGCAGGCTGGACATGGTCTCCTCCAGGTTCTGCCGAAGATCCAGGACATTCTGCACGGTCCGCTTTCTCTGGGACTCCGGGTCTGCAGGGAGAGGACAGCAGCCGGTGAGCGAAGCTTCGGGAGAGCCGAGGCGTCAGGGCGCAGGCGCGGGCCGTGTCCCCGGAGCCCGCCCCGGCCACGTGCGCCTCTCGCCCCGGGAGGGGGTCTGTGTGGCGCGCGCCTCCCGGACCCCCACCCCGGCACGTCCTGTTCTGGCTTCATTTTTGAGAGGCCTTGCTTCTCCCAGCACAGGCCCCAGGCGAGGTCACCCGAGCGTCCACCCGAGCCCGGGTCCCGGGATGCGCGGCGTCTGCCACTTTCCACGGCCTAACTACTCCCCCGGAGACGCGCTACCCACGGGCACTGGCCCGGCCGCGCGCAGCCGCCACGAGGGCCCGGGGACGCAGAGCCTGGCTCCCGGGGCGCGGCGGGCAGGTGGACGGCGGGAGGAGCCTTCCCGGGGGCGGCCTGAGTTCCCGAGTGCGGCCGCCACCCTCGGAGGCCTGACCGGTCAGGGTGGCCCGCTCCAGCCTCGGGTCTCGGCCGACCATCACCACGGACAGCGGACAAGAGTCTACGCCAGCAGAGCCGCCCAGGGACCTCATCCCGTCTCCTTCCCAGGGTGACAATAACGCCCAAAAGCCTAAGTAAGGGGTAGGGAGCACGAAGGACTCCGAGACCCTCTCCATCCCTCTCTGGGTCCGTCCACGAAACCTTACGAGACACAGACGTCGTGCCAAGTACCCAGGAGGCCCTGCGGGCACCGTCCTGCCCCGTGGTTTATCTCGGACTTGGGGATCCACAGTCACTGAAGGGAATCGAATCCCCCAACGCCTCCCCGAGAGGTGACACACGGACAGTCGGGGCCTACAGGGGGGATGACGGCAAAGCGATGGAGAAGCCCCAACAGTCCTCACCCTTCTGTATCCCAAAGTCCTCTGCGGTGCTCCCCTGGCCGCGCCACCCTCTGCCCGCCCCCCACCCAATGCCCAACGGCAGCGTGAGGTTCTTCTAGCTGCCAAGGGAACATCTCCGAATCCCTTCAGGGGCACTTCTTCCCCCAGGACACTCTCAGGCCCGGGGCCGACAGGGTGCTGGGGAGGGCGAGCAGGAAGCCAGGGCACCGGGGCCGGGAGCCAGCTCCACGCCCAGACCCAGACCCAGGCACCTCCCCTCTCGTCCCTTCTCTCCCCGAGGGGCCCTGTGGGAGGTGCTGCTGCTGGTAGGGTCGCTCAGGGTCCACAGCTTGTGTCCGTCCTCCGTGCTGGTTGGCAAGAAGGGACAAACGGTAGGCCTCCGTGTGTGGGCCTGCGCTGTCCCCAGCCTGGCGTGGCTGCTGCGGCTGCCGATGCCGATGCATCCTGGCAGACGTCACCTTGTGCGCTGCTTTTAACTGATGGGACGCAGAAAGCGTACACATGGAGTTTGAAAGCTTGGTTCCCAAACGCCCGTGTCGGGGGCTAAAAACACGGTGCCACGATGTGGGTTTCTGGGCCAGGCCGAGTCTTTCTACGGGTTTGGCAGAGAGAAAGGAAAGGCATGCATGCCCCTAGGGCGTGTGCAGTCCCACAGAGGAAGGTGACCAAGAGTTACTCAGACGCTTGTGCGTGTGCCAACCCCGTGCATGTATCAGCTAGTCGGATCCTGACAGCGCTTACGGGAGATTCGTGCTCCTGGCTCCATTTTACAGACGGGAGAACTAAGAGTCCAAGAGATGAACCACGTTGCCCAAGGCCGCACACCTGGCACGGAGCCCCATGGCACACTTGAGCCCAGCAAGGAACTCCTGTTTCTTGTGATGCATCACAGGGCACCTCTGCTCCGCTCCTATGAAGTGCAGGGTCGGCACACAGCAGGTGCTCAACGGACGTTGCAAGAATACGTGAAGCTACCACAAAAAAAAAAACTGGTCAAGACATGCATTACAAAAAGATCGGATGGGGGCAGCCCCGGTGGCGCAGCGGTTCAGCGCTGCCTGCAGCCCAGGGCGTGATCCTGGAGACCCTGGATTGAGTCCCACGTCGGGCTCCCTGCATGGAGCCTGCTTCTCCCTCTGCCTGTGTCTCTGCCTCTCTCTCTCTCTCTCTCTCTGTGTCGCTCATGAATAAAGAAAGAAAATCTTAAAAAAAAAAAAATAAAAAGATCGGATGGGGCACCCGGGTTGGCTTAGCTGCGTGAGCATCTGACTTCACGGTCTTGGGGTTAGGCCCCCACGTCAGGCTCCGCGCTGGGCATGGAGTCCGCTTGGGGTTCTCCCTCCCTCCCTCTCCTCTGCCTCTCCCCCTGCTTGCACACAGACTGTCTCTCTAAAATAAAAAAATATATAAAAATAAAAAAGAATGGATGGATATATGTCCCTGTAGGAAGATGTCTAGTTTTTTTTTTTTAAGGAAAATTAGGGACACCTGGGTGTCTCCACAGTGGAGCGTCTGCCTCTGGCTCAGGGCGTGACCCTGGGGTCCTGGGATCGAGTCCCACATCGGGCTCCCTGCATGGAGCCTGCTTCTCCCTCTGCCTGGGTCTCTGCCTCTCTCTCTGTGTCTCTCATGAATGAATAAATAAAATTTTTAAAAATAAAATAAAAGGGGAAATTATTTAATCCACATGGCAGCCAGCCCCAGGAGGGCCGCTCTGTAGCTCCTAATGCCCCGGGGCATGGGGCACGGTGTGGGCATTTGGCTCTTAATGCTCTAGGATGACAGAAAAAGCGACAATTCCTACCCTCATTGCACTGATCACAGAGCCGTACCCCCCCCCCGGGACCTCTCCAAGACTGCCCTAAGCCCCTGCCTCCTTCCCAGGGCAGCAGAGTGGGGCGGGGATACCCCCAAAGCCTCACAGACTTGCCCAAACTTAGAGCCGCCGGAGTCCTTGGCGGCCGCCCAGCGCAACGTGGTCACAGGAGAGAAGGGAGGCTGAGTCCGAGGGTGGGGGGGCTGGGGGCCACGGGGAGGCGGTACTGGGGTAGCACGGGGTGGGGGGCCTCCCCCAGGGCAGGAGCCTGGCCTGCCCTCTGCTCCCGTGTGCCCCAGCACTGCCCCCTCGTGGTCACCCTGCGCACGCAGCCCGCCTCCCCGAGGCCCCGGAGAAGCCTGGCCCAGCACCCCGGCGGCGGGCGCCCCGTTGGCAGTGGCCAAGGGTGGCCAAGGGGGCCCCGGAGCTGAAGAGGCTGCGGAGACAAGGCCAGCCCGGGGCAGCCCGACACTCGCACCCGTGACCCCGCCGCACACCTTCGCGGGCTTAACTCGGAGAGACGGATAGAGTCGCACTTGCAGAAGAATCCGCCCGGCCCTCCCCCTTCCCCACGCCTGACGCTCCCTCCATCCACCTCGACGGACCCCCAACCCGGACCCAGCTTCGCCCCTTCCTCAGTCTCCCGCGGGGATCGGGACGGGGTGAAGGCACGCGAGGCACACGCCGCTTTGTGCCGAGAACCCCAGAGCTTGGCGGCTAGTCTTACGGGAAGAGTCGTGGTGCCTCGGGGGTCACTTCCACGTGCCTCCGTCGAAGTGGGGTCTGGGCGCGGGGTAGGCCTAGGGGACATAAGAGAGCACAGGCACGGCGTCCCACCGCGTGGGACACGCTCAGGGCGCTCCCAGCCTCATGCCCTCGTGGCATTTCCGTGCGGGTGACAAACAGGTCTTCCCCGGGGCCGACTCAGCCAGGGACCCGCCCCCGAGCAGGACGCCCCTCCGTCCGCGTGCCTTGCTCTTAGTCCCTGCACAACAGTGTCCAGCTGCGAGAACGGTGTGTGGGTGTGAGTGTGGTGTGAGGGAGAAGCAGGCTGGACAAAGGCCGGGGGCTCCTGCGGCCCGGGGTCGAGGTCTGAGGGGGGCTCATGAGGTTGTCCTGGGCCGCTCCTCCGCGTCGCGCCCTGCAAACGGGGCAACCAGGGAGGGCGTGTGCTCCCGGGGCTCAGAGCATCAGCAGCCTCCCGGCGGGCACTGGGCCCTGCAAGCCAGGTTGGGGTTCCTGCACCCTGCGCCCCATATACGAGACCGCGGAGGGCATGCTGTGGGCCACGTGTCTTCGGGCAGGACTGGAATCAAATAAACCCGACACACAGGCGCTCACGTGCGGGCACACACGCGGAATGTGTGCGCAGGGCAGGCCTGACCCTGAGCACCTTCCCTGCCCGTGTGACCCCGAGGCTCCTGTTCTCAGCGCTCCCGGACGGCACCTCGGAATCCGCATGCCTCCGGACGCACACGCACCCCTGCCTGCGGCTGGCGGGAACCATCCCGTTAGGATCGCACGTGTGCAGATCTGCAGTCCTGCCGACGGACACGCTCCGAGGGGTTTGTGGGGGCCCGTGCCCCACTGTGGGGGAGGACGGGAAGAGACGAAGGCAGCTGCACACGGGCCATTCAATCTGGAAAAGGGCTGGCAGGCGGGGAGGAGGCACTGTGCAAGATCGGGAAAACGAGCCGTTCCAGGAAGGCGGGACTATGAACCAACCGAAGGGAGACACGAGGGCAAGCGTGGACAGGCTGGTGTAGTAGCAAGGACACAGCTCTTCGTGTCGGAAAGACCTGAGTTCAGGTCCACGCTGCCCTTCTTCCGGTGCGTCTGCTCCAGAACAAGGCACCGCGGCTGGCTGCAGTCTCCCCGCCTGTAAAACGGGGAGGGTAACGGCGCCCCCGCCCCGGGGTGACGGTGTGGTTCACGTAAAGTGCTCTGCACGGTGCTTGGGCGTAGTAGGTGCTCTATAAACGGTCGCTCTCACTCGGCGGAAGGTGCGAGGCGGCGGGTGAGCAAAGGGCACACAGGTGGATGGTGCCGGCCCCCGGGGTGTAGCCTGGCGGACCTCCATCCTCGTCTGGGCCCCCGCTCTGGCTGGGGGAGCCCTCGTCCTTGGAGGGAGGGCGTGCAGGACGTGGAACGAGACCTCATCCCCGAGTCTCCGGGCCTGCGGACAGCCCTGCACCGTCGCGATGCTCCGTCTTCAATCCTGCTTCCCCCTGGAACCCAGCTCAGCTGTGGGAGAGGCTGGGCCCCCGGGGCCTTCCCCAGCCATCAGCCTGCAACCTGATGTAGTCACG